GTGCGGGAGGTGGAGTTCGCCCGGGCGCTGCGCCTCGGGCAGAGCACCCTTGAGCCGGTGGCTTTCCACGTGCCGCGTGTCAAGGTAGGTGGCGAGGACCCAGCCATGTTTGGGGTGGTGTAGGAGGTGGGGGACCCCCCCTCAGTGCACCTCGCCCCTGCAGAAGGAGTATTTCCAGGACGATATCTACCCACCGACCCGTGTCTGGTGGGAGCCAGCCCTCAGTGGCAGCACCTGGCTGGCAGGGAAGGATGGGCAGCAGCGCCGCGCCAGCATGCGGCCGGCCGACATGACACCAGGTGGGTGCAGAAGGGCAGGGTGAGGACCCCGGGCCCACAGGGATGGATGGATGGGGCGGGGGAGGGGAACTGTGGGGCGAAGCCCTCCTGCCCCACGGCAACGCCGCTCTCCCAGTGAGCAAGGCCCCGAAGGAGGCTCCGGCGCGGAAGTTCGTCCCTGCGTCCGTGTACCTGGAGGAGAAGTCTGACGAGCAGAAGAAGGAGGAGGTGGGTGCCGGGGCACCCTGGGACCACCCTGCTGGGGGGCTCAGGCTGGGGGCAATGCCCCAGGCTTCACGGCTCTGCCCTGTCTCCCTGCAGCTCCTGAACGCCATGGTGGCCCGGCTGGGCAACCGGGACGACCCGCTGCCCCAGGACTCCTTCGAGGGGGTGGACGAGGACGAGTGGGTAGGTGCGGGGGGGGCGGGTACGACCCCCGGTCCCGCGCTGTCCCACCACACCCCTCACCCCCACCGGGCCTCCCGCAGGACTAGGCTGGACCCCGGCTCCCCGAGGACCACGCCGGTGACCCCCACGGCCTCCCGGGCCCGGCAGGGAGGACGAGGAGGAGAAGGAGAAGGAGGAAGAGGAGGAAGAGCCGCCGCAGGGCCGGGCCCGGCCCGGCCCGGCTGAGGGGAGGCACGGCGGGGCCGAGGGCTGTGCCCCGCACCAGGCCGGGCAGCAGTGTTAGGCCCCATGCCCGCCGCGGGCAGGTCCCGCTATTAAAGCCGCTGCACTAGCACCCGTCTCCTGCCGTGATTCCGGGCCGGGGTGGGGGTGTGGAGAACCGGGGACCGAAGTGGGGGGGACACACGGGACCGGCACCGGGGTAGGCCGCGGCCCGGGCCTCGCCCGCCACCCCTTGCGCATGCGCAGCGCAGCCCCGCCAGACACCGGCGGGACCTCCCGGGAGGCGGGTCCGCCAGGGGGCGCTGTACCCACTGGGAGCGGGGCGGTGCGCCCCGCGCCGTCGCCGTCTCGGTGACCGCCGCGACCTTCGCTCCCTGACCCCGTGACCGCCGGGGGCGGAAGCGGCGGCGGGGACATGGTGAGGGGGGACAGGGGCAAGCGGCGGGGCTGGGATGGGACGGGACGGGACGGGGGAAAGGGCCTGGGGGTGGAGGTACAGGCCCCGGGGAATGGGGGACGGGGCTCGGGGAGGCGGAGGACGGGCTGGGCAAGGCCCGGAGACGGAGGGACGAGGCCCGGGGAGGCGGAGGATGATGCTGGGCAGGGCGCGGGGAGGGAACAGGGCCCAGGGAGGGGCGAGGAGGCCGGTTCGGGGAGGGGACAGGGCCCTGGGGGCCAGGGCCGGGGCTGGGCAGGGCCCGAGGGGAGGTGAGGGGGCAAAGGACCCGGCTGGGGACAGGGCCCGGGGCGGCTGTGACAGCAGGATGTCCCCGCAGGCCAAGTACCTGGCGCAGATCATCCTGGTGGGGGCCCAGGTGGTCGGACGGGCCTTCATGCGGGCGCTGCGCCAGGAGTTTGCAGGTAGGAGCCGAGCTGCCGCCCCCGGCGTCGGGATGCCGCCCCCTGTGCGGAGCATGCCCGCTCTCCCCTGTCCCGGCCTGGGCATCGCTCAGCATCCCCACCCCCTTCCCCAGGGCAACCCACTGCTCCCCATCCCCCGGGGCTGTGCCCGGAGGGGACCCTTGCCAGGCTTGTCGCAGGGTGACAGTCACCATCCGTCTCCCGGCGCTGGCCTAATGGAGTTTCAGCTTGAGCTGGGCTCCCGGCAGCCATCCCAGGCACCAGCCCGGATCTGGCACTGCTGCCAGCCTCCGAGACCTCCCGGCAGCCCCAAAGGGCAGAGCGGGGATGGTCCCCCGGGACACGGCAGCCCCAGCCCTGCCCTGCTTGCCTCTGCCTGCCTGCAGCCCAGCTCGCTGTGGGCGCCTACAGCAAACAGGTGCCTCCCCCCGGTTCCTGCCACCTCCCCAGCACTGGGGGCCTCATCCAGGTGACCCCCACGGGCTGGAGGCAGCATGAGGAGGGCAGAGTGGTGAAGCTGGGATCTGAGCACCTTGGAGACTGTGGGCTTTGCTGCCCGCCCCCGCCCGAGGCCTGGGGGTCCCGAGGGGGGGGGCAGCACTGGGGGGACTCACGCCCTCGGTATCTCTGAGCAGCAAGCCGAGCGGCGGCAGACGCGCGAGGGCGCTCGGAGAGGCCCCAGTCCGCCGCTGCCTCCAGGATCATTGGCATCAGCCTCCAGGAAGCTCAGCAGATCCTCAACGTTTCAAACCTCAACCCAGAGGAGATCCAGAAGGTAGAGGCTCCCTCGGAGCTGGGGAGAGACGGTGCTGGCAGGGCCCTGCCCTCCCTGTGGCTGCTGCCCAGCATGGGGGAGACAACTGGTCCCCAAAGGGAGTGTGGGTGCTGTCTTGACCCCAGTTAATCCCAGTTTGAGGTTTTCCTGCCCCAGCTGGAGGGCCGTGCCGGCAGCTCACGGGCATTAGCAACCTGCCGGGCTTGGCCCCTGCGTTTGCCCAGCAGTGCTGCTCAGGGAAGGGGACATGGGCTCCCCAGACGTGCCCGACCAGGAGTGTGGGGACCTGCCAGGGGGTCGGGCAGAGCCAGCCGTGACCCCAAGATCGCACTTGCCACCTCCAGCACCGCTGCGGGGAGCGGGAGGCCGCCGGGGTTAAGGGCCGGGGAGGGTGGAAGAGATGAATCTGACAGGGAGCTTCTCTTTGGCAGAACTACGACCACTTGTTCAAGGTGAATGACAAGTCGGTGGGAGGCTCCTTCTACCTGCAGTCCAAGGTGAGCAAAGGGAGGAGAGGAGGGGGGGCTGCGCTGGCCCCCAGCCCTGCTCTCGGCACCTTCCCCTGCCTGCAATTCGGGAGAGAGCAGAGCCTGAGCGTCACCGCAGATGAGGCAGGGAGGGGAGAGGGCAGCTCCATCCCTCCGTGTCACCCCTTCCCCGTGTCCCGCAGGTGGTGAGAGCCAAGGAGCGGCTGGACGAGGAGCTCCGCATCCAGGCCAAGGACGAGAAAGAGAAGGGGTGGAAAGCCGAGACGTGACTCCTGCCACCCCCACACCTCATTTCCCTCACCCTTAACTTATAGGTAGCCAATAAATGCCGTGTCCTCTAGCACCTGGCCTGGCTGCTCTGCACCCCGGGGAGGGAGAGGGGACTTGCCTGCCTCTGCCCGCTGCCCCGGCAGGGATCAGCACCTGCGAGGGGCTGGCAGGGCTGGGTTTTGCCCTGGGGAGGAGGAAGAAGGAGGCGTCTGGGGAAGAACGGGTGTCCCCGGGGCACTGAGGGCTGCCAGGGCTCAAATGGCACCCGGGGAGGCTGCAGGAGCTATTTTTGTGGTGGGTTCGGATGCTCTTGGCCTGAGTGCACGGATACCTCTGGCTCCGTACCATGGGAGTGCCGGGAGCTCTGTGCCATTACCCTTCTCCCACCGCAGGCAGGCAGCTGAGGCAGCTGCTGGGTCGGGGCAAGGGGCCGTGGGGGGATGCGCTGCGGCTCTCCCCACCCACAGCTCATCCCGCAGATCCTGGCAGGGCTTCACCGGTACCGGGGCTGCCCGACCGGGAGCATGGGGACCTGCCGGGGCGTCAGGCAGAGACAGCTGTGTCCCTGAGATCCCACCCGTCACCTCCGGCACCCCTCTGTCCCCACTGCCATCGCCACAGTCGTGGACTGAAACAGGAACTTACTTCAACTTCACTTTATTGTTTTCTTAATAAACTTCCTCTCTCCTGGAGGAATATAGTGTTATAGTCGTTAGCTTATCTCTTATTTCTGCAGTCCTTAAACGCTATGCTAACAGCGATGGAGCCCAACAGGAGGAAAATAAAAACAACCCAGAAACTACGATAGAAAGGCACTTCGAGACCGTTAAAATACTGATGTCCTGGAATGTGCAACAACAAACCGACAAAGGAGCGAGGAGACGTACACCGTACACCGGCCGGGGCGGCCTGGTCGATGGCCCGCGGCCATGCTGGGGCTGCGGCAGCGCCGGA